TGAGATGATATAATTTGACTCTAATAACTTTTGTTGTAAAAGTTGTTTGCCTCCTCTAACGTTCTTTGGTTACACTATGGTACGTCAATTTTTACTTTGACTCAATTACGTCAAAGAGAAGTGGCTAAAATTTTAAATTGAAATTCCATTAACAATGTAAATCTAAGATAAGTTATAATATTTTATAAAAAATATTAGACGAACAAAATAAGAGGTGCTTCACTAATTTCAGAAGGATATCGACAAATTGACCACTGAATCCGATGGAGGAAAAATTGGGTATAAGATTTCCTATTTTAAAATAATCTTTCAATTCCTGTCTTATTCAGTTGGATGATTGACACTGTAGAATTGTGACGTTGTCATGAATAAATGTCATTCATCTAACTGGACAAACACAAATTGAAACATGATCTTAGAATAGAAAATCCCATCTAGGTGAATCCGAGCACTGGAAGTGAGCTGCAGCTTCAGTGTTAGATTCATAGTGATAATGTTTAATATTTCATCTGAAGAAGTTAGTTTGAAACTTTATGAATTGATAACTTTAGAAAGTAATAGTTTTAAAAGATCAAACACTAGGATCTTCGAAAGTTGAGCTACAGATAGAAACTTGAATATGAGAGTTTTATTGTGCTTCAAAAGTGATATGTTATAAATCTTGAATCATATGAACAAAAAAATCATGAAATTGTTCGAGACAAGTTTCAATTTGAAACATGGGTCAAAAAGTGAACATTGAACGAAATTGACAAAAGTAAAAGTTGTTAGACTACGTCGACACACATTGAAAGTTAATGTCCCAAATGGTAATTTTAAAATATTTGTGGACAAAAATAGAAAACATAAATTATTGGATTGAAGTTGCAGATTTACCAAATTATAATATAGACCCATCTTTACAAATATCGTTGTTGGTTGAGTTAATAGTTAGATGACTTGTAATAGGTACATATAGTGATCTAACCACTAATTCTCACTAACAATATTATTTTTTTAAGCTCATATTATTTATTTTATCTTTATAACATTTATTTCTCCAACGTGAAGCTATTATATTTAAGTCTTCTTTGTATTGTATAATTGACTAATCAAAATAAAATTTCATATTTGTCACAGACTATTCAGGAAGCAGTTGGTGATTGGTTCTATGACAGAAGCACCCGATTTCAAGAAATTGATAACCATAAATTTCCATTGTCACTAAATTGCACCAAGCTTCTGAATTTATAAAACCATTAAATTTGTAAATGTATAATATATAATACCTTATGACCAAATGTAATTTGATAATAGTTAATTACAATAAAAATAAAAATGAAAAAGATAGAATCTTAACAGAACTTCATGAATTTTCATGTTACTTATCCTTTTATTTAGACTAGTGTAAGTCCTTTGTCTACCATCGAGCCCTTGCGTATACATATATATGAAGTCATATCATTAT